TTGATCCACTCCCTCCCCCACCAGCTGATTGCGAGACTGATGGCTACCTCAGCTCCTCCGGCTTCCTGGATGCCTCAGACCCTGCCCTTCATCCCCCTGGGAGGGTGCCATCCAGCCCAGCTGAGTCCCATCTCTGCCTGCCCTCGGTGAGAGGGGGGTCCCTTGGGGGGCTTCCAGCCATTCAAAGCCTATGACTTATCTCCTTCCTTTTGAGACTCAATCCCCTCACCTGTCCCCATGGCCCTGAAAAGCTACCTAACCATTCTTATTCTTTCCTCCAGTTCTGTTTTCCCTAGTATCCTCCCAGCATCCTTGATAGAATCTCCCTAATTGTCCACAGTTATCAGCAACACTTACCATCTCCTGAACTCGTGAATCTTATCCTCTTTCAGGCTTTTGCCTTATCCATTCCACGTTCTGGCCCTGGCAATGACTTTTCTCCTGGGGACAGGTATGTTCCAGTATGAGTTAGGGTACCAGGGTAAGACGCAGGAAGTCCTGCCCATTGCCCTCTAAGACACTTCTCCCTTTTCCTTTCCAGCTATGCCTCAGATGCAACATCAGGCCTCAGTGACATGGGAGAAGGGGGACAAATGAGGAAAACCCCAGTGAAGAATCTTCGACGTAGACCCCGATCCCGGCTTCGGGTCACTAGTGTAAGGAGGGGCACAGGAGCTGGAGAATAACCCGCAGGGCCATCAAGAAACTGTCAGGGAGATGGGGGAGGTGAGCCAGAAAACTAGAGTGCCACAAGGCATCCAGTGTAGTTTCAATGCAGACTTTGGGGGCAGAGTCTGTTTCAACATCTTCTCTAGCCGCTGTCCCTTGGCTGGAGTAGGATGGAAACACGATGAAGGCAGAGCAATGACTTACTCCCTTCTACTGACTTTGAATCTGAAGGTCTCAGACCAGAATGACAGAGTGGTTGAGTGCCAGTTACAGACCCACAACAGCAAGATGGTGACCTTCCGATTTGATCTGGATGGGGACAGCCCAGAAGAGATTGCAGCTGCCATGGTGAGAGGGAGAGAGATGAGGATAAACTGTTTGACCTGATATAAGCATTTCTTTCCTGATTGTCACTGTTTCTGACACACCCTGATCCTACAACATGGGTTTATAAAACACTGGTTAGCCTGTGACACTGAAGATGCCTCAGCCTTTGTATGGGGGAAGATTTCTGTCAGGTTGAGCACTTTGAGATTACTGACTGGGTATACACAAATACTGCGTGTTCAATGCCCCTTAGATGTGTGACACTGTAGGTGGCTGGAAGTAAAGAATGGGCTGGGGCAGCACCGGAAGGAATGGGATTTCCCCATGCCTCCATAGATGACTATGAAAGGCAGTAAAGGGTGGGAAGGGCATGCCCAGCTGGAGGAACAGCATAAACAGAGACATTAGTCCTGAATGCTGGGAGGACTTAGTATGGAAGCCACCATTACCAGAAGAAAGGAATTTTATAGGAAAACTGGGAGATGGGAGTCTTAAGAGTTAGTGAAAGCCAGGAGTGGTGGTGCATGAGCATAATCTGAGCACTTGGGAAGTAGAGGCAGAAGGATCAGGAATTCAAGGTCATTCTTGGCTACACATCAGTTCAAGGTCAGCCCAGGCTGCAAGAGATCTAGGGGGAGGGGCAAGCAAACAAATAAAAAAACCCACAAAGTTAGGCAGAGAGAAACATGTTTTTTTTCAATGTTTTATTTATTATTTTTACTTTATGTGTATGCATGTATTGCCTGCATGTATGTAAGTGTACCCTTGTCATGCAATGCCAGCGGAGGTCAGAAGAGTATGTCGGATCCCCTGGAACTAGAGTTACAGAGCTACAGATTGTTGTTACCACAATGTGTGTGCTGGGATTCAAAACTGGGTCCTCTGGAAGAGCAGCCAGTGCTCTTAATCGCTGAGCCATTTCTCCAGCCCTGAGACTAGGTTTTAAGAAGATCATTCTGCCATGGGATATGGGAGGAGATTAGGAATGGGAATTCCAGTTAGAAGGTGGACACAAGAAGTAAGATGTAGATGGAGAAATGGATTTTGGGAGCAGGGGCTAAAAGAAAGAAGGGTGAATCTGAGGGTTTCAGGAAAATTAATTGCTGTGTGATACAATAAGCTCTTGACGTAATAGAGTGTGGGTAGTAGATACCCAATAAATATTTGCTGAGTTGATATGCTAGGGAGTTGGGGAGAAGGGATATCAAGGGCAACTTGGAGCTTGGTGGAACAAAGAGGAGCAGTCTAGTCAAAGAGAGAGGAAGCTGGAATGAAAGTAGGCTCTTTAGCCCGGTGTGGTGGTACAGGCCTTTAATCTCAGCATGGAGAGGCAGAGGCAGGCAGATCTCTGTGAGATTGAGGCTGGCCTGGTCTACATAGCAAGTTCCAGGTCAGTTCCAGGGAGACCTGTTTCAAAAACAATTTTTAAAAAAGGTAGGCTCTTTTAAGTGTTGTGATGAGCTTAAGTCAAGGTCTTCCATGGCAAGGAGATATGGAAGGGCAGGGCTGGCAAGAAATGGGTATAGGAGTCCTCAGTACAGAATTGAAGATGGGTCCGCAAGGCAAGAGACATGAAAAGCTTTGAGAGTGTGTCTCAGGGAAAACCCCATTCTAGAATGAGAAGGGGGAAGATGAGTCATTGAAGGACACAAAGTTGTAGCCTAAGAAATAGGCAGATGTTAGTGAAAATATAAGGAGGTGGGAGAGGGGGAAGCCTGGGGCAAGATCATACTGAGGACTTTGTGGGAGACCATTTCAACAGAGTTGGGGTGGTGGACGTTAGCCGCTGAGATGATGGAGCAAAGGAATGGGGAAATGTCAAGCTTGAGGAACTCTCTCTAAAGCATCTTCTTCATGTCATTCACCTAGTGTCCAGGATAGAGAAAAATGTCAGCTGGACACAGAGCTTCTTATCTTCTGAAAAGCCACTTGAGCCTTCCAGAATCTACCATCTTGTCACACTGGTTTCTGAATGGTTCCCTGAAGAGGCTGGGTTCCTACTTGCCTCTGCCTCCATCTTCTCAGGGGCATCTGATGCAGAGGGCCTTCCCTCCTAGGTTTTCATGCCCACTCAGAACCCACACAGCTAAAGTGACACCACTCTTGAACCCAAGGTCCATCTCTCTCCTTTCTCTCCTTACTAGTTCACTCCTCTGCAGTAGAGTTTGCAACTTGGATCTGATCTTGCTGCTGTTCATCCCAAACTCTTCAGTGGCTATTTGTTATTATAGAATTATGGCACATGCCCTTTACAGCCCACAATCCAGCCAGCTGTACAGAGTCCTGTCATCAGAATGTGCTTTGCCTTTCATATCTCAAAACTATTTGTTGTTTCCTTGGCCTCAACTGTTCTCTCTTTTCTTCTTCTCGATAAACAAGATGGAATAGAAGAAAGGATTTTATGTAACATCTGAGTTCAGATTTTATGTGTTGAAATTTGGTGAATCTGGGCAAGTTTCATTCAATTTTTTTTTTTTTTTGGTCTTTTTGAAGCAGGGTCTCCCTGTAAGCCCCAGCTGTCCTGGAACTCACTATGTAGACCAGGCTGGCCTTGAACTCACAGAGATCCGCCTGCCTCTGCCTCCCAAGTGCTGGGACTGCAGGTGTGCGCCACCATGCCCGGCTTACTCCTTTTGTGGTGCTGAAGATCAAATCCAGGGTCCTAAGGCAAGTGCTCTATCCCTAAACCACACCCCTAGTCTTGGGAAGTTTCCTTTTTTTTTTCTTTTTTTTTTTTTTTTTTTTTTTTTTTGTCTTTTAGAGACAGGGTTTCCTTGTAGCCCTAGCAGGCCTGGAACTTGCTATGTAGACTAAGAGGGCCTTGAACTCACAAAGATCCACCAGCCTCTGTCTCCCAAGTACTGGGAATAAAGGCATGCGCCACCACATCTGGCCCATTTCTTAACCTCTTTGAACCTCAGTTGTTTATCAATTATTTGTTTTTCAAAGATGTTCTGATCTAATAGTGTATTATGCCTGAGAAATGGTCATAGATCCTCCATGAAGGGTTGCTTCTCTTATTTCAAAGTGGTAAGGTTCAGTTTCAAGTACTTACTATGTGAAGCCACCCCAGGGTCTCCCATCTCCAGGGTTATTTGACCTGTTCTCCTATTGGAATAGCATTTTGTGGGTCTGGAGGAGTGATCAGATTTTTATTAAACTTATTTGTTTTGTTTTCTTTTTGGTCTTTTTTTTTTTTTTTTGAGATGGGGTCTCCTTGTAGCCCCAGCTGTCCTGGAACTCACTATGTAGACCAGGCTGGCCTTGAACTCACAAAGATCCTCCTGCCTCTGCCTCCCAAGTGCTGGGATTAAAGGTGTGTGCCACCACCCCCAGTTCTTTTCGGTCTTTTTGAGACAAGGTCTGTAACCCCAGCTGGCCTGGACCTTGCTATGCAGATCAGGCTGGCCTAGATCTCATAGAGATCTACCTGCCTCTGCCTCCCAAGTCCTAGGATTAAAGGCATCCACCATTGTACCCAGCTCTTATTACATTTACTTATGTATTTGTTTGTATATGCATGTGTGGGGTGTGTCTTCATGTGTTATGGCATGTATGTGGAGGTCAGAGGACAACTTGTGGGAGTCCATTTTCTCCCTTCATTATGTGTCTCCCAGGAATTGAACTCAGGTCATCAGGCTTGAGAAAAGCACCATCTTGCGGTCCCAATTACAGACTTTTTGAATATATTTTTTTATTATAGTTATAAAAACCAAGCCTTGGGGCTGGAGAGATGGCTCAGTGGTTAAGAACACAGGCTGTTCTTGCAGAAGACCTGGGTTTGAATCCCAGCACCCACATGGCAGCTAATAACTGTCCATATCTCTCCAGTTCCAGGGGATCTGACAGCTTCTTCTGTCTTCCTTGGGCATTGCATGACATGGGTGCACTTATCTGCACACAGGCAATACACGCATACACATAAAATAATAAATAAAATATTAAAAAAAAAAACAAGCCCTATTGGGCATGGTGGCACATGCCTTTAATCCCAGCACCCAGGAGGCAGAGGCAGGCAGATCTCCATGAGTTCAAGGCCAGTGTGGTCTACATAGTGAATCCAGGCCAGCTGTGGTTACAGGGAGACTCTATCTCAAAAAAAAAAAAAAAAAGTCCCAAACACGTAGTAAGTTGGGCATGGCAGTACACACATGTAACCCCAGTACTCAGAACTACAGTGTGACCCTATCTCAAAAATGAAGACCAAACAATCAACTAAACACACAGAAAACAAAAACCACAACATAAAAGATTTACCATTTTAGCCAGGTGTGGTGGCAGAGGCAGGAGGATCTCTGTGAGTTCAAGGCCAGCCTGGTCTACATAGTGAGTTCCAGGTCAGCTGGGGCTACAGGGAGACCCTGTCTCAAAAAGACCAAAATTTTTTTTTTAATTTACTGTTTTAACCACTTTTAAGTGTATCGTTCAGGTTGTGGGTGTGGCTCAGTGCTTGCCTGGGTTCAATCCCCAGGCAAAAACAAACTCAGAGGAAGTGTACAGTTCAGTAGTGTTCAGTGTATGTACACTGCTGTGAAACAAATCTCCAGGTTTTATAAGTCAGAAATGTTGTATTCACTAAATAACAGCTCTTCTCACCTGCCAGAAGAGAATTTCTACCTATGCTAACTATAGGCAAGGCTCAGAAATACCCTACCTAGCATAGGGTAACTTGCAATACGTTTTAGATTTCTATGTCTCCTCCACTTGATTTTAGGCTTAAGACCAGGATGTTGTTTGATGCTTTTCTGTATTACATAGCATTTGGAACAATGTATAGTCTATAGTAAATACTTGGTAAGTTTTTGGAGAGTGGAATATGGCATTAATGATACTGTTGTTTTGCTTAACTCTGCCATGTGTGAGTGTGAGCCTATAATGGTATACTTTACAAACTATAAAAGTGCAGTGATTGTGTTGAAAAGCAGGCAACCCTGGAAAGAACTCAGGCTCTGGCTTTAAGTGGGCCTAGGTTCAAATACTGTGGCTTTGGGTAGGCTGAACTTAACCTGTTGATAGACTCCAGAATGTTGTTGGTAGCCAATGTGACAACATGTGGGAAGCATTGGTATACACAGCACACACCTGCTAGGAATGCCAGCTCCTTTCCTTCTGGACTACATTTCTCCTCAATAAGTGTCTGGCACACAATAGCAAATAAAGCAGTGTTTTCAAGTTGAGTTTAAAGCTCAGAAGCTGGGGGAGCAGCAGGGAGATAACAGCTCCTCCCCATCCCATAACCCTTGCCAGGTGTATAATGAGTTCATTCTGCCCTCGGAGCGAGATGGATTCTTGAGCCGGATTCGGGAGATTATCCAGCGAGTAGAGACCCTGCTAAAGAGAGATACTGGCCCCCCGGAGGCTGCTGAAGACACCCTGGGCCCCCAGGTCAGGCATTGGACAATCCAGGAGGAGCAGACTCTGCCCAGGCTCTCTTCTCTCTGCCCCCACAGTCTGCTTGGATTAACTCCTTTATCTCAAGTACCTTAAAACTGGCTATTGCCCCACTTGAGAATACGATGAAAGTCATGGACTCTTGTTCTAGAAAATGTGAATGAATACTTTTAACTCATTATTTTGAAATAAGTTCAGACTTGCTGAGAAACATTGCAAGAATTGTAGAGGATGCTCCTAGATGCCCTTTGCCCAGATTTTCCAGTTGTTACTATTTTTGACTAGTTTTACCATTCTTCCTCTCTGTATGTTATGGTGTTTTGATCCTCTTGAGAGTAAATTGGCAGATTTCATGCTTCTTTACTCCCAAATATTTCAGCACAGAGACTTTGGAATCTCTTGAAGCTCATGTCTGGACTCCTAGAGGTTAGGTGGTCCCAGCTTAAGAATCCCAGCCTGCAACCTTCTGACACTTGGCTTTCCTCACTGTGACTATGGCCCTTTTTCTCCCTCAGGAGAGAGCACCACTGCCAGCCCTCCCAGATCCACCTGGTGGTAGGTACTGAGTTCTGTTCGTGCTCACCCCAATCCCTAGGTTGCCCCTGAGAAGGGCACGGAAAGGGGCTAGAATCTTGACACACCCTCCTCCTCCTCCTCCTCCTCCTCAGCAGAGCCCCAGAGCAGCATCTCCTTGGAACAGAGGAGCTGGGCAGTCTTCTCTACCTCCCCATCTTCTCCTGGAACCCCCCTTTCCCCTGGAACTCCTGTTTTCCCATGCTCCATCTTTCCTATCACTTCACCCCCATGTCATCCTTGCCCATTCTCCCAGGTCTCCTCAAACCTTTCTCCACAGGGCCCCAGCTCCCCACTTCCACCTTCCTCCAGTGCACATCAGTTTCTATTCCCACCCTCTCCACTTCCCCTTAGTCCTCTCCCCACCAGCATTCCTCACCCATTCTCTAATTGTTCCCAAGTAACCCTTAATCCCTCTTCTTTTCCTGTCTGCCCCTCTCCTCCTTCTCTCCCCTCCACCACAGCAGCTCCTCTCCTCTCACTGGCTAGTGCCTTCTCTCTTGCTGTGATGACTGTGGCCCAGTCCCTGCTGTCCCCATCCCCTGGGCTTCTTTCCCAGTCTTCTCTAGCCCCCCCTGGTCCTCTGCCTAGCCTGGCCCTTCCCCTTCCCCTTGCTTCTTGTGGCCAGGAGAGCCTTTCGCCCCAAACAGCTGAGACAGAGAGTGAGGTGAGTAGGAAGTCAAGAGAGATGATGAGGGGAGGTCCCATTCTGGATCCTTTCCTTCATGGACCCACACTTTGTAGGCCTGCCGAAATCCTGCTCAGCCACTCCTGGGTGAAGCCAGACTGGCACCCATCTCTGAAGGTGAGGCCTCTGGTCCCTGACCCCTCAGCCTGCTAGCCCTAGCACACCTCTTTAGATCCTGCCAGATTTCCATCATGCTTCTCCTTGTCTCTGTGCAGAGGGAAAGCCCCAGCTTGTTGGGCGTTTCCAAGTGACTTCATCCAAGGAACCAGCTGAGCCTCCCCAGCAACCCGTATCTCCAACTCCCTCCAGTTCCCTAAGACTTCCAACCCCTCAGCTGACCTCAGAGAGCTCAGACACAGAGGATAGTGTTGGAAATGGACCAGAGACCAGGGAGGCTCTGGCAGAGAGCGACCGTGTGGCTGAGGGCCTGGGGGCTACAATTGAGGAAGGGGACGATGGGAAGGAACCCCGAGTTGGGGGCAGCTCCCCACTCTTGAGCCATCCCAGCCCAGTGTGGATGAACTACTCCTACAGCAACCTGTGTCTCAGCAGCGAGGAGTCAGAGAGCAGTGGGGAGGATGAGGAGTTCTGGGCTGAGTTGCAGAACCTTCGGCAGAAGTGAGTCTGGGGAAGATGGCAGAGCAAGAGGTGAACCTGGGAGAACGGTGTGTGACTTTTCCTGCCCTTGGTGCATCCTCAGGCACTTGTCAGAGGTGGAGGCACTACAGACACTACAGAAAAAGGAAATTGAGGACTTGTACAGCCGGCTTGGGAAGCAACCCCCTCCTGGTATTGTAGCACCAGCTGCTATGCTGTCCAGCCGCCAGCGCCGCCTCTCCAAGGGCAGCTACCCCACCTCCAGGCGCAACAGCTTGCAGCGCTCTGATCTCTCTGGCCCTGGTGAGACTGCAGCCACCCAGCTCTCATCTTTCCCCTGAGACTCCTTCCCTACTGAAGCAGTTTTCTTCAAGGCCCTGGGAATATGCCCTTGGTTCTGGGGGACTAGCCCCACTCTTTGCTGCTCCTTCCCTCACTTGGTGCTCTCCCTCCCTCATCCTGCTCCCAGGCATCATGCGAAGGAATTCCCTGAGTGGCAGCAGCACCGGCTCCCAGGAGCAGCGGGCAAGCAAAGGGGTGACATTCGCCGGGGATGTTGGCAGGCTGGTGAGGGCGGGCCCGAGGGAGGGAAAGCCCAGGGAATGGTAACTGGCAGCAGCTTTAGCATCCTCCTCCTTTGGATGTTTCTTCAGGATTTTTTTTTTTCTTCCCCTCCAGTGAACTCAGAACAGAAGTCCTATGTCTCCCCAACACCAGGCCCCACCATATAGCACTTGGGCTCTCAGAATCTGACGCTTTTATGGCCAACTCAACTCCACAATGAACACCTCAGCACTGAGGGGGTAGAAGGCCTGGGGGCATAAAAAGTACGGTTCTATTATTCTGACAAGTCAAACCCGTGGGCACTGTTTGCTGTGTGGAAATGTCAGTTCTGTAGCCTACCACCTTCATCTGTCCCTCCCCAGCCAAGGGCCAACCACTAAGCAGTCCCACCCAAGTCCAGATGCTTCTAGAAGGCCAACTCCCAGCTGGGAGAGGGTAGGAAGTATGCTTACACCACCAAAATTAGCATCAGCTAATAAAAATAAAATAAGGATTGTGGGTCTGTGTCTGTCATGCCTTAGAAATGGGGCAAAGACTTGTGGAGTGAGGCGGGGAGGATTTAGAAGGCATTCTCCTTGTACAATGGGAGGCAGGATGGAAGCTGCCAGCCCAGCCTCTGGCTTCCTGCCATCAGGTCATGAGGAAACTGCATGGCCAATGATCCACTTGGCCAAACTCTGATCCCCTCCAGACCCCACCCTAGGCCTGTATAGGCAGGTATCACTGAAAGTTAAAAGAATGAGGGTTATTTGTCTCTTATCCTTCATCTACTTATGTAGGGATGGGGAAAGGCAATGACACTAGAGTATGTTATGGCAGAGGACAGAACAGTGACCTTCCTTCCCCTAAGACCTGGTTCAGTCTCAAACAGCCCAGTAATCTCTCCCTTAAATCAGGTGGAAAGATCTCACGGAAAAAGTAATTCTAGTTAAACATTTACAGCTCCCTGGGGCAATGCCACCACAGCAGCTACCTCCATGGAGCTTTCCAGCATGAAGTGCCATGTGTCTCTCGGCCCCCACACACTAGCTTGGCTTCAGAAGAGATGACTTATTTTATTACTCTTAACTTGACCCTAACTTTAGATTTCAACTCTACAGAGCTGCCATACCCTCCCCCCTAACAAGTGGGCCCCTGGGAGGTGAAGGGAGAAAAACAAAGTTTCGGGAAAGCCAAGGTTGCACATCTCCCGAACAAAAAAGGAAGAAGGGGGGTTAACTGTACAACCCGCATGTGAAATGAGCAATGCCCTTTTGACAGTGGCCAAATGCATAGTCTCTGGCTTTTGGAGCTCAATCATGGTCCAAAGTTACTAAGTAGGTTAGTGATGCTGGATCATTCAACATGTAAAGGCGCTCCAGCAGTATGAAGATAGCCAAGTCCATGCAGCTTAGGATCCTGACGCCCTCTCAAGAGCTCGGGCTCGGGCAGCTTTGGCCTCATCTTCCAGCTCATCAAGGAAACGCTCCTGGGACACCGAGTAGAAGGTGTAACCGTCTGGAGAGGTGGGTTCAGGAAACCACAAGAAATATAGACAATCCTTTCTCCTACCACCCTTGTTATTCTCCCAAATCAGTGATTTTTGGAGTTCCACCCTTTGCCTTTTGAACTCTCACCTCAATTCTGTTATTATTAAACACGTTAAAAGAGCAGCTTAGTGATAGTAAGATTAGGCATTAACTCCTATTTCACCTGCACAGTAAAAGCTTGGTTTAGCCCCCCTATACATTTTGTTCCCTTTTCCTTAACCCCATATGCGCACAGCCAGGATGGATACAAATAGCTAACACCAGGGCCCCGATGCCCAGGCCGGTCACAATGTTCCGGGTCCGCCGCTGTGGCAGCATCTTCTGCCACTGGGCAAGCTGCACCTGCCGCATAAACTGCACTTGCGCGGGGGTCAATTTCTCCCGCGACGGGTCAATGCGCTGGGCGAACGGGGCTTTTCCACTCTCCGTATCCACAGGGTCACCCGCTCCTGGGGCCGCCATGTTGCCACTCCGCCCTAAGTCGCCTGGGAGCGCCGGTCACGCTGGGAAGAGTAGTCCTTGGCCGCCGCAAGAGACTTTGGGAGTTGTAGTCCACGTGCAGTTTTTCTGGGTAGACAGGGTCTCTCCGCCCTAGAGGAGGGGCAGGAAAGGCGAGAAGTGGCTCTCTTTTCTGATTGGCTGAAGCGGTTCGTGAGCGTTAAGGTGCAAAAAAAGCTGTGGACAGTTCGAAGCTGTGGTGGGAATTAGATTTTCTTCAGATTCGAGGGGAGGACAAACACATGGGAAGGGAAGGAGGAACCGAGGTGTGGCAGGAGATTCTTGGAATAAACTGAGGAAGACAGGGATCCAGGCAACTGTGCGAGTGCTCGAAAAGGCTTCTAACTATGGAAGGACCTGAAAGGCCAAGGTTGGCCAACTCCATTGACTTTCAGTTTGGAGCTGTTACCAGAGAGACCATCGAAAATGCTCTGCTTCACTTGGCCCAGCAGAACGAACAAGCAGTGCTGGAGGCTGCAGGACGGATGGGCAGCTTCAGGGAGACCCGGATCGTGGGTGTGGATGCACAGTGGGGAGCTGAGTTTATGGGGGTCTTGGAGGCACTGACTTTAAGATTCAGTTTGTTTTTGTTCACTCACATAATTTTTGTTAGTAGGTCCTTTATGTCAGGTTGTGGGGCCATAGTAATGAACAAGGCACACCAGCACTCCAGATTTTGTAAACATTATTTATTGACCTTGTCTGGGACAGAAAGCTAAAACAGGAAGACAGTCCTTAATTTCAAACTACGTATGATCTTTGGGTGGGAGATATTAAATATACGAACAACTAGGTACAAATATGGTTAAGACTGACTGAGAGAATACACGTCGTTAAGGGAATCTGAAAGGAGTGATGAGGTAATGAGGTGAGGTTCAGGGAGTGTGACATTTGAGGTACACCTTGAATGAATGGGGACATTTGATTGAACTATGAAGGGGACAGCATTTCTGCCCAAACAGGATAGCATGAATAAAGCTTTGGAAGTGTCGTGGAGGAGGGAGGTGGAGGATGAAGCTGTAGCCCATGGTAGCCAGAACATATGGAGGAAGAGTTGAAATTAACACCAAAAAGTAGTTTGGAGACATTTCAAGTAGAAATTTGAATGTCAAGGGGAAAGAGTTTATGTGTGGTTTAGTAAGAAATGAAGACACTGAAAACAATTTAAATAAGGAAGTGGTGTAGCTATAACTTTTGCCTTGGAAAAAATTATTTTGTTTTTATGTGGTACAAAGGGTGGACTTGATTTGGTGGGATGGGAAGTAGGCAGGGCAGAGGAGCCTCTGTCTACAGTCCGAGAGGGCAGGGGAACTGACAAGGAAGAAGGCATTAAGAGCATCCCATAGGCAAAAGCTAGAAATCTGAATATTCATTTGAGAAACCGGAAAGAAAAGGTGATTGTGTCAAAGGGTGGAGCCTCAGAGACTGGGAGCATAGTAGTACCATTAGAAGCACGGATACAAAAATAAGGAATTATGCACCTTTGTTGGGGAGGGGGTGTTTTGGTTTTGGATCTACTGGGTTTAAAATATTTGTGGAACATCTAGAGGAAGGTTTAGTGGGCTGTTTAAAAAGGAAGTCGGGGCTGGAGAGATGGCTCAGAGGTTAAGAGCAGTGGCTGCTCTTGCAGAGCACCCAAGTTCAATTCCCAGCACCCACACTGTGGCTAACAAGTCTGTAACTCCAGTTCTAGGGGAATCCAATGCCCTTTTATGACCTCCACAGGCCTTGCACATGGGTGCACTTACATACATGCAGGCAATATACTCACACACATAAAACTAATAAAAATTTTAAAAAGGGAGTCAGAACTAGAAATGTAGGTTTTGAATGATTTTCATAATGATCCTGTTGAAATTGGGAGAACTTGAGATCCTAGAAGGAGAGAAGAGAAGCAGGTCAAGGGCAGTCCTTGGGAAACATTTCATGACCAGGGAATTCAAGTAGGAAGAAGAGTCTTTTAAAAAAATATTTTATTTATTTTTATTTTATGTGTATGAGTGCAAGTGTATAAGCACACCCGTGTCATGCAATGCCCAAAGAAATCAGAAGACACTGGATTCCTTGGAGCTGGAGTTAGGGACGGTTGTTAGCTGCCATGTGGGTACTGGGAATTGAGCCTGGTCCTCTGTAAGAGCAGTCTGTGCCCTTAACCACTGAGTCATCTCTCCAGCCTGGAAGAAGAGTCTTGAAAATGAATGAGCTCCTTTAATCCCAGCATTCAGAGGCAGGTGGATCTCTGTGAGATTGAGGCCAGCCTGGTCTACATGGTTCCAGGCCAGCTGGGGCTACAGGGAGACCCTGCTCAAAAAAAAAAAAAAAAAAAAAGAGTGCTTTTGAAGATTTATTGACATAGTAAAATGACATATACTCTAAAAATCTAAAAAAGGGAGCCCCTGCAAAAAAAAAAAAAAAAAAAAAGAGTGAGCCATGTGTGGTGGTTCACAGCTGTAATCCCAGCACTTAGGAGGCTGAGGCAGAATTGCAAGTTCTAGGCCAGAGTGAACTACATACTGAGTTCCAGGTCAGCCTGAGCCTGAGATATAACAAGATCCTGTCTCAAAACCAAACCAAAGGGTCAGTGAGGTAGCTCAGCAGTTAAGAGCACTTGCTATTCTTACAGAGGACCAGGGTTTGGTTCCTAGCACCCACCTAGGGCAGCTCACAACCACTTGTGACTCTAGTTCCAGAGGGACTAGCACCCTCTTCTGGCCTCTTTGGGCACCAGTACACACATGGTATGCATACATACACTCAGGCCCACACACATATATGTAAAAAACATCTGAAAAAGATAACACACAAAAAAACAACCAAACGTACAGCTGGGGGAGACAGGAACCAAATCAAGAACTTTTCAAAGCCAACAGAAGAATTTCCAGAAGATTCACGGTCAGCAGTTTCAGATACTTCAGGGGCATCAACAAGAATGAGGATTGTAAAAGGGCCATGTTGTTTAAGAATTTGGAATATTTGCTGACTTTTGAGGTAGTCACTTTCACCAACTGGGAAAAGTGGAAGCCAGATTGCAGAAAATTAGGGGTAAATGATGAAGTGGAAGAAGGTGTGCAAGCCAGACTTTCAAGAAATTCAGCAATCACTGATGAGATGGAGAGATGGAGCACTAACTCAAGAGTGGGGAAAAAGGTCTTTTATGTAATAGTACAGTTGGGTATGTTTGTAGGCAGAGGTGGAACAAGGTGGGACCATAATTCCTTCTACCTTACCCAAGCTCAGTTTTCTTGGGAAGTTAAAAAGAAAAAATAGAAATGGATATCTGGATAATTCATATCAAATCCAAAACAAAGACCTGCAAACATGCTTTCTCAAAGTAGAAAATAAAGTCTAAAGTCTAGGGGGAAAAAAAAATTAAATGTCTCTCCCATAACACACAATTGTGTGTCCTAGGGCATTTTGCTGAATGGTTTCTCTTCTGTGATGGACATTGTTAGCAGGGTTGTGGTCTTTGCAGTAAGGCTTTGTATATAAATCTCTTTGCAATTTGTGTTAAAGTATATCACCAAACTGTCTTGTGTTAACTTGACTTTTGGTTTTTGTGACCTTTTAAAAATTTTGTTTTCTTTTTTTGTTTTTGAGACAAGTTTTCACTGAAGCCCCTGCTGGCCTGGAATTCTCTATGTAGACTAGGCTGGCAGAGTTCCACCTACCTCCCAAATTCTGGGAATAAAGGCATGTGCCACCATGCCCAGCAATTTTTTTTTTTGGGGGGGGGTCTTTTTGAGACAGGGTCTCCCTGTAGCCCCAACTGACCTGGAACTCACTATGTAGACCAGGCTGGCCTTGAACACACAGAGATCTGCCTGCCTCTGCCTCCTGAGTGCTGGGACTAAAGGCATTTGCCACCACCTCAGGCCTCTCAATGTTTTTGTTGTTTGAGACTGGGTCTCATGTAGCCCATGCTGGCCTTCCATTTACTTTGTTAAGTGAAAATGACCTTGAACTCCTAATCCTCCTGCCTCCAGCTTTCAAGTATTAGGATCGCAGACATTTGCCACCATTGTTTTTCTTCAAAGAAACCAACTTTTCTCTAAAGACATGACAATTTGATTATATTTGTACAGGCCAAACATCAAAAATACAAAACTCTGAAACTTTCTTTTTTTGTCTTTTTGAGACAGGGTCTCTCTGCAGCCCCAGCTGGCCTGGAACTCACTACATAGACCAGGTTGGCCTTGACTCACAGAGATCCACCTGCCTCTGCCTCCCAAGTGCTGGGATTAAAGGCATGTGCCCACATGCCCGACGTCCATTTACTAGTATCTTTAAGAGAAAGGCACAAGTGAAGAGAAGAACACCTCCAGATTTATTGCATAAAAGAAACTCTGGATACTGGGACTACAGGCGTGCGCCACCATGCCCGGCATAATTTTAAAAATATATATTTATTATTTTTATGTGTATGAGTGTATTGCCTGCATGTATGTGAATGTACTTGTTTTGTGAAATGTTGTGGAGGTCGTCGGATTCCCCTGGAACTGGAGTTAAGGACGGTTCGTAGCTGCCTTCTGGGTGCTGGGAATCAAACCCAGGTTCTCTGCAAGAACAGTCAGTGGTCTTAACCGCTGAGCCATCTCTCTAGCCCCTTATTTAATATTTGTATGTGTATGAGTGTATTGCTTGCATGTATGTGAGTGCACCCGTGTTGTGCAATGCTGAGGAGGTTAGAAGAGGGCGCCAGATTCCCCTGGAACTGGAGTTAAGGACGGTTCATAGCCACTATGTGGGTGCTTGGAATCAAACCTGGGTCCTCCGCAAGAGCAGTCAGTGCTCTTAACCACTGAGCCATCTCTCCAGCCCCTCAGAAACTCTTTTGAATGCCAACATGATGCTGAAAAAGTTTTGGATTTTAGAGGATTTCAGGTTTACGATTAGCAGATTAAGTATGCAAAATTTCCAAAATCTGAATAGCCCCTGAAATCTGAAACACTTCTGGTCCCAGGCATTTTGGATAAGGGCTACACAGTCCTTATTTTTCGCTGATCATTGATAAACATTCTTAGGTCTACAGGAGTTTTCTTTGTCTCAGGCATTTTGGATAAGGGCTACACAGTCTTTATTCTCTGCTGATCATTGATAAAAATTCTTAGGTCTACAGTTTTCTTTGTTGAGAACTGACATTTACCTTTGTTTCCACCCTCTAATGATATTGCAAGCTAAATAGAATTTTATCTGGGGCTGTTCTTTCAAAGAGAAACAGAAGCAGGCTAAAATCTTGCCAAGATATCTTACCCTTCCCACCTTCCCAATGATTCCTTCCCTCTCAATTGGGTTATGTTTCCTGAGTTAGGGGAAGTTTCTTCAGAACAAGTTACTCCATAGTAATAAACTTGCTCCTGAGGAGAGGATCAGCCACCAAAGATTTACCCAACAAACTGCTGGTGGAGAGGTGGTGTCCAGCTGTAAGGTGAATTGTGTTTGTAAAGCAACAGGAGTTCACCAGAGGGTGGTTACTAAACAAACAGGGTCATAAAGACTATTGAAGCTCCAGGAGGGACCTTTCTGTTCCCACCAACATTCCACAGAATATAGGGGTTAGGGTTTTTATCCATCCAAGAATCTTCCTTGAAGCTAAGCGTTCCCAGCATGGTGTAGAGGCCATCTAGGCCAGCTGGTATGTTTGTGTGTAACTAGCCAAAGGAAACACAGTTCAGCTTTGGTTGTTCTAGTGTCATCTTTCCCACTCCTGACCCTCTTCTCTTGGCCCTATCATAGCTTTTACACCATGCCAAGAGTTCACAGAGTGGTTGAGTTGTATCTTGTGAATTAAGCTCTTCTTTCCTGTTTTGGCAGAGTTTGTTTTCCTCCTGTCTGAACAATGGTGTCTGGAGAAATCTGTGAGCTACCAGGCCGTAGAAATCCTAGAAAGGTAAAGCCCTGTGCAAATGGCCTTTGTGCTGGTGTCCCTGTGAATGGCTGGTGTACCTAGATCTTTAAAAAGGACGACTTGCCCCTCCCCAGGAGGCCTGGCTTTACACCCTGGCTTTCACTTGCAGATGTAGACTTCCTAGCCAGCCTGTGATACCAGAAAGAAGAGCCCCTCTAGTGTGGTTGTGGTTGTTCACTCTTCCATCCTCTTTCCCTTTCAGGTTTATGGTGAAACAGGCAGAGGACATCTGCAGGCAAGCCACAATCCAGCTGAGCGGTAATACAACAGAGGTGCAGAACTGGAGGGCTCGAAAAGAGCAGCTTTTCAACAAGTTTATCCTCCGTTTGGTGTCATGTGTTCAGCTGGCCAGCAAACTTTCCTTCCACTACAAAGTGAGGAGCTGGGGCTGCTCATGGGTACCTGAGTGTTAGAAAGAGAGCAGCTCCCTGAAGGTAGCTGTAAGAAACCTCCTTCTGAGCTAGGTGCTCCTTCCACTACTCATGTGGAAATTCCATAGTGTAATTATGCTTCCTAAGCATACCTCCCAAACACACAGTCCTACAGAGGCAGTTATTAAATAGCCTCAAGTTCTGTTCCCAAAGCAGAATTGCTGGACAGATGCCATCATTCATACAGGTCACCTTTCCTCCCCTTGGACTTAAGGACAGTTTACCTAAGGTGTCTGAATTACCAACATACCTATCAACATTAAAGGCAAATGATTACACCTAAAAAGGATAAACTGTTTCCATCACTACCCACTGCTTGTACAGTAAAATTATTTGTTGGGCAAATATTTATTTTTTCTCCTGTGACCAGATGTTTCAGTAGATATGGTTTAAAAAAAAAAAAAAGGTTGTCTGTGCTCTCAAGGAATTCACTACCTAATGGGAAAAGACATATGTGCAGACAGGGAGAAGAGGTGCTGATTACTGTAAATACAGAGGCTTAAGAATGCACCTCATCAGCACTGGAGAGTCAAGGAAATAGAGAAAACGAATCACTGAAATCGGTGGGTGGGAGATAGGTGGATCCCAGGAAAAGCAGAACAAAATTAGGAAGAGCAGGAGAAAGGAGGGAGCAGAGGGAAGGGAAATTCAGGTACAGGACGCAGCATGTAATGGCTTGGAGAGGGAGAGCAGGTGGGGTTTTACCTCAGGTAATCCTCTTTACATGGTTTAGGAGAATTAGCGAGAGGACTGGCAATGAAGGCATCGACTGTGAAGTGCTTTGTACATTCTGCCAAGTTCTAGGACCTGTATCCTGACGTCTTTTCTCTCCCTCTCTCTCTGCTTTGTTTTTCTTTGCTCAGATAGTCAGCAACATTAGAGTTTTGAATTTCCTCCAGGCTCTCGGCTATGTACACACTAAAGAAGAACTCCTCGATTCAGAGCTTGATGTTTTGAAGTCTCTGAACTTCCAAATAAATCTGCCCACTCCTCTGGCCTATGTGGAGATGCTCCTTGAAGTTTTAGGTACTTTATTAAATGTATCAAGGAATGTGGGTTGGAAACTTCCATAGAAGGCAATAAATAAATGTGCCCAGGGGTTTGGGAGCAGGAGGCAGAACTTGCTAGTGAGGAGCAGTAGAAAGTCTGAGCCTGTTTTGGATGATTGAAAAATATGTTCCCTCCAGCACTTTTCAGAGAATGTAGCTCAGAGGGCTCACAACTGGTTTCTATTTGGATTCATTAGGCGCTTTTGTAATTTAAAATTTTTTTTGAATGACTGATGTATGTATAAGTGTTTTGCCTATATGTATGTAGGTGCCACCTCTCCCAGCAGTAAATCTTTTTAAAAAAAGAAAAATGTCGCCGGGCGTGGTATGCACACCTTTAATCCCAGTACTTGGGAGGCAGAGGCAGGTGTATCTTTGTGAGTTCGAGGCCAGCCTGGTCTACATAGTGAGTTCCAGGACAGCTGGGTCTATAAGGAGACCCTGTCTCAAAAAAGACCAAAAAAAAGTGTCTAAAATCAGGTGTGATGGCTCATCCTAGCACCAGGGAGGCAGAGGCAGGCAGATCTCTGTGAGTTCAAGGGCAGCCTGGTCTACATAGTGTGTTCCAGATCAGCAGGGGCTACAGGGAGACCCTGTCTCAAAATAGACCAAAAAATTAAAATAAATAAAATTGACCTTCTTCTAACAAGGAAGCATATTAGCAACTAAACTGCTTTATGTCCTAAGACTGTAATCAGAGAATACCCACTTCACGCTGCCTTCCATGCCTGCACTCCATCTAGGGTACAATGGCTGTTTGGTCCCAGCCACACAACTACATGCAACTTGCCTGACCCTCCTTGACCTGGTCTATCTTCTCCATGAACCCATCTATGAGAGCCTGTTGAGGGCTTCGATTGAGAACTCAACTCCTAGTCAGCTGCAAGGGTAAGAAACTCTTCCAGCAGAGGCTCCTTCCAGGAATGGTAGTAAGGGACAGGACATATGATTATGGGGAGGTCTGGGGTTAGAGCTCAGTGGTGGAGCACTTACTTGCTTAGTAAGTTCGATACTCAGCACTGCAAAACAAAATAAGCAACAAAACAAAACCAAAAACTCCACCAGGGGACTGGAATTACTCTAGCAAGGCATCTAATCAGGAGATAACTACACTGCTTACCTTCTTTTTATTAGCTTTCATGATACTGTTGATGCAAATGACTGAGTGGTCAGGAAACTAAAGGTTTTCACTTTAAATTACTTCAAAATAATTAACATTCTTTTTTTTCTAGTTCTTCCTTTATAACTATTTAACAATTTGAGAGTACACTTTTATAGTCACTTGAGCGAAAAAGCCAGTCACACAGCAGTGACTTGGACAGATTTTGGACAGTATTTGATTACTGTAAAGTCAGACTGTCAAAAGCCTCACAGTTACATTTGTTAGGAAGAGAGATGGAACAAAAGGCCTAAAGATGACAGACACAAGGCTCATGTTTTGATCCTAGTTGAGCTGTGCAACGATGGGAGAGCACATCAATTAGCTATTACTTGAGCCTTTCCTACTACATCTGAAAATCCAAGATGGTCAGCATAAACAACTCATAAACCAAGTTCTATGACCCTAGAATGTAAAGATCAACTTTCACATTAGCTTCAAAATTAATATGGCTTTAATTATTCAGGGAAAAGTTTATCTCTGTGAAGGAAGACTTTATGCTGTTAGCAGTTGGAGTCATTGCAGCAAGTGCTTTCATCCAGAACCATGACTGCTGGAGCCAGGTACGCACCACTGAGCAGCACCAGTGTGGTTAGTTCATTTAATAGAAATCATTCCCCCATCAGTTAAAGGAAAACAGAAGAGAGCCTACAGAAGGTAAGTGCCAGCAGGATTTGGAAGAGGTGGAAAACTAGGGTAGGAAGGAAATGTTTCCCTATTTGCTTATAAAATTGGAATAGAGGCCTAAGTTCAGTTTGTTCTTTTTTTAAATATTTTATTATTTTTATTTTATGTGTATGAGTGTATTGCCTGCATGTATGTTGAGTGTACCCGTGTCATGCAATGCCGTGGAGGTCAGAAGAGGGCTTTGGATTCCCCTGGAACTGGAGTTAAGGACGGTTTGTAGCCACCTTGTGGGTGCTGGGAATCAACCCGGGTCTTCTGCAAGAGCAGTCAGTGCTCTTAACTGCTGAGCCATCTCTCCAGCCCCCGTTCATTTCTCTTTATAGTTACAACCCACTATTCTGTTAAAAGTCTAATACACATATACCCCCTCCAAAAACCACTAACAACAACAGAGAAAATGTCAAGGCCCAGTAATCCTCTTTGTAGTTCATAAAATTTCTCTCAAAAAGAGGGAGACAACTAGCAGAAAGCTTTCATGTTAAGACTACCAAGGCAAAGAATCCTAATGACACTCGGCCATTAGCAATGTGGAATCTGGATGTAATCGTGCTCTGTGTTCAGTTAAATGAACTTTGTCTTGAGAGAGCATCTCAGGCACTGTGTGAGTGTGTAAGTGCTCCTGAAGGAATGTGTGCACATTAAAATGTGTTGAGATTATTTAGTAATAAGCAATCTGTCTGTTTCTAAAGGTCATAGGGCATTTGCAGAGCATCACTGGCATTGCCTTGGAGAGCATTGCTGAGTTCTCTTATGCAATTCTGACTCACAGCGTGGGAGCCAACACTCCCGGGCAGCAACAGTCCATTCCTCCCCACAAGGTAGCCAGAGCTCTGAGGACTACTGCTGCTCCTAACACATGAGGCCAACCCCCTCCACCCTCCGCCTCTACCTCCACACTCCTCCTTCTCCTCCTTTACTCCCATCCTCTGGGCACAGAAGTTCCAAGTTTTGTTCAAAATGTATTTTGTATTCCAATTTCATGAAGTTTTTCTACAACAGAGATAAGTTATGGTGGACAGACATGCCCTTTTTTGTTATGTCAGAGTTGGAAGGCGTGAGCTTCATGAAACTGGTTCATTTGTGTTTAACAAGACATTTGTAATTTCTCTCTAATCTATTGATGGGAATATCAGCTATAGATGTAAGTATTAACCAGGGTTTTAAAACAGACTGTCTGGATGCCCTGGCTGAAGATCATGATGTAGCTATATTCCCTAGTTTAGTATCTGTTCTGTTACTGTGACCTAAACAGGCTTCTCCATAGCCATTCTCACTATCTTCTTAAACTAGAATTAAACCATTTCCATGCATGTTTCAGCAGAATTTATACATAACTGACAGAACTCTTCTAGAATACAAAATACTCAACTTTAAAGAAAAACTCACCAGTGCACCTCTGAGTAATTAACAGACTGTAGCAAATCTTTTATTACAAATAATTAAATCTCTCCATGTCTCAAACGGTATCAAACACCACTTCAAAACTCTACCACATAGCAGAGGAGGCAGTCAATACTAGACTGAGTGAGAAAGTTAAATTTCCAGCTTCTGATCCTACTACATGGTGACCAGGCAGAGCTTCCATGTCATTTCCCATGTTATCCAACTGTGTGTCTCAAACATTATCTCATAACTTTCTGTTTCATATTTTAAATGCAGAAAGTTGAGAGTGATAAAAATCTAGTGAAAACATATCAATGTCAATTCAACTGACTTAAAAAAAAAACAAAGCAAATTCAAATTAGTTGTTTTCAGGAGAGAGGGGAGGCATAGGGTTAAGAGTCAGAACTGTAACAAAGGCTGCTAGCTATACATGTGTTGTGGCTCTGGAAGCTATCTGTCATCTGATATTTTAAAATAAAGTGGCTTTTGTCTCTTTTGGTATTGTAAACATGTGGTTTAATATTACCCAAATTTAATTTAAAGCATTTTTTCAAACAAAACAAAATTTAAAACCTTAAAGGCAAACATGCCCCTAAGGAATAAGGAAAGTCATTTGTTATAAAATTGTGAAGATACCCAGGCAAGACCCCACTTAAGATTTGTGAGCATGAACTTAAGAGCTTTCGTCCACTGTTCCTCAGAGTTAAACTGGGTTTTGATAGAATAGGAGCCACCACTGCCTCCAGTGTCTTCAATCTTGCCTTTCTCCACATCCATCCTGCAGATGGACATAGCAGAGCTTATTAGTAATAGATCCATCAGAGTTAAGTCAGTTCAGGCAAATGGGCAGGAACTTGATCATGGGACCATTCACGTCATCTTATCTAATAAAGGATGCTTGGCAAGGACTGGTGGTGTATTTTGGATTTGCTTGAAAGCCTAAAATCAAGAGGCTGTCACAAGAGCTTCATTGTCACTGTAGCGTACAGGGATCCAACATACACCCAAACAGAGAAGCCTGGAGCAGGAGGTGAGTGAAGGTTACGGTGTTCACTGTTTGCCTGGCATCCCTGAACTCAAGGAGGGAAGAGAGGCAGAAGAAAAGCTGTGTCTTGGGGTGGCAGAAGTGGCTCAACCTTACTTTTTTTTAATTAAAAAATTTTTTGATAAACAAGGTCTCATTATGTAGCACAGGCTGGCCTTAACCTCACACATTCTTCCTGCCTCAGCCTCCTGAGCACTGGGATTACAGGTGTGCACCACCTGGCCGGGCTCTCAATCTTGTTCTCTTGAACTAGTTTCCATCTATCACTGAGCTGCTACATTACTGAACCAACAGAAGCATTTCTGTATATTTCCAAAGGCTGCAGGGAAAACCTTTCTGAAACTGGAAAACAGGCTTGAGCTCCGTGCCAAGAAAATCCTCACAACCACCTAAGACAACATTCTTTTACTCCAGGGACCAAGTGGTCACATGCTGTCCTGCCCTGCTTGCAATGTTGAATTAGTCCTTGCCCATCACTGTCATGTGATCTGCACTGTTTTTTGCTTTCTTCCCATTTTATGTTTCCATTCTTACTGTCCTTTTAACTCTATCCAGTTTAGGTCTATTACAAATTCACTCAGCACTGCGGGGAGGGAGGGTTTGAGGGGCAGATACTGACCTGTAAGGAAGACAAAATCGTGTCTCGCCTTTCTCCACCTCTTCTTTGAACTGCTGCACACAGTCCAGGAAAGCTACCATTGCATGGTCAAACTTGTTGTCCCAGAAGAACCGCAGTCCTCCAGAACAGTATAAGGGCAACTCCTGTCCAAGAAGAGAGAACTGGCTGTGGGTGTGGAACCAGACAGACTACCAGAGATTGTTCCCCGTCTTATCAATTCCCATGTCATGTCTCCACTGAAAACAAGTCTTACAGCTGACCTCTGTCTTCTATAACCCTGAACAACTACAATAGCCATGAGCAAATAAACAACACTTAGAACTGCTGCCCTACCAGTGGAAATTTACTGAACTCAGCATACCCTTCCCATCCTCAGGTGCACATTCTCCTGTGAACTACCTAGATCCCTTTCAACAGGTTGTAAAAAACCTAAATTTTTCTCTTAAACCCCAAACAGCTTTAAGCCTGAACAAGATGTTGGTTCTTTATGAGATAACACATTCTGAGAAATAAATGGAATACTGTCAGCCAATATCAATGGTAAGCCTTTTTTTGAACCCAGGGCCTTGTGTACTCTAAGCTAGTGTTCTAGGTCTGAGCTATACTCTTAGCCCCAAATGAATCCATTTTTGTTTTTTCTTTCTTTTTTTTTTTGGGGGGTCTTTTTGAGACATGGTCTCCCTGTAGCCCCAGCTGACCTGGAACTCACTATGTAGACCAGGCTGGCCTCGAACTCACAGAGCTCCACCTGCCTCTGCCTCCCAAGTGCTGGGATTAAAGGCGTGCGCCACCACACCCGGCTCCATTTTGTTTTTTTTAAAAAAATATTTTATTTATTGTTTTTATTTTATGTGTATGAGTATTTATGCCTGCCTGTAGGTAAGTGCACCCATGTGGTGCAATGCCCGCGGAGGACAGAAGAGGCTGTTGGATCCCCTGGAACTGGAGTTACAGACGGTTGTTATCGGGCATGTGGGTGCTGGGATTTGAACCCGGGTCTTCCGCAAGAACAGTCAGTGTTCTTAACCACTGAGCCATCTCTCCAGCCCTGAACCCATTTTGTTAGGATGAACAAGAACTCAGCAACCCAATGAAAAATGGTACCTCTCAGAGTACCTTAGATTTGTCTGTCAGAGACTCCAGATATGAATGATTTCCATAGGGAACAAGCCGGTACCTAGAATGGAGATGCAGACAGAGATGGATACAGTACTCCTAAAGAGATTATTGGGAAGTTGCAACCCAGTAATTTTCAATCTGTATCCTACCCAAGGACTTTTATTATTCCCAGGCCCCTCTCCCAGCTCTCTATAGGTCCATGTTTAAAGACTTACTGAGAAAATTACATGTATTATGTAACTGTCTGGGGGCCTTTCATCAACATGTATGTTTTGGCTTAGTGGTTTTTTTTTTTGTTTTTTTTGTCTTTTTAAGACAGGGTCTCTCTGTAGCCCTAGCTGGGTTGGAACTCACTATGTAGACCAGGCTGGCCTTGAACTCACAGAGATCCACCTGCTTCTGCCTCCTGAGTGCTGGGATTAAAAGT